ACAGTGGGGAGGCATTCACGTTGCAATGGCTGACTCTGCAGCTGGTATTGGTGGGACATCTTCAGCTTAGTGCCTGGATTTCCTTCAAAATTCCCCAATCTGCTTGTGCTCTCAGAGTGGAACAGTAGGAGATTTAAGAAAGGCTCTTTTTTTTCCCCCCCATATTTCAATGTTACATTTTGTGTCCACTCCATCCCTCTGCAGCTACCCAGCCAGGTTCCCTGTTTATTTCTGTCTCTCAAAAATATCAGGAAAATTTTCATCGTAAAACCACAGAAGCAACAGCCTGGTGGTTTCAGGCAGGTGAGGTTCTGAAATGAAAACCGATGGGGTTGCTCCTTTGAGGGCTTGTCTTCACAAGAAAGCAATTCTGGAATAAGAGTGTATGAGTGTAACACACAAGACCTATTCCAGACTAATTCTGTGTAGACAGGCCCTACATTTTTTCCTTCCTTGTAGCCTCAGCAGAGTATCTTTGTTCTTGAAAGAACATCGAGCCTGGACTCCCGGGCAGTCCCTCCAGTCATTCTGCGGAGCTGCTGCGTGCGTGGTGCCACTGCTGCAGACGGACAGTTGCTGCCTTCATTGCTCAAAATCCAGCTCTGAAGTTTGATGAGGAGAGAACGGATTGTCCCTCCGTGCTTGTTTCTCTGTGTCCACAAAGTCTTCGCTGCTGTCCACACGGTCCTGGTTAGATTAGGTGTGCTGTCACAGCCTGGTAATACTTGACGTCCCCAATTCTGGCTGCCTATGGAGGAAGCAGGCAGAGGGGGATAGCATCCCTTCACATGGTAATGTTTTATGACTTTTATTATTTAGAACAACAATCCTCTGTCATTGCTCTTGGGCAGTAAACCTCTTTCTTTAATAACCAGAGACTGGCTGCCTCTCCGTAGGACTCTCCAGGTCAGTGCCGGTAGCAGTAATGTTATTTCTCTTTAGAACTAATGTGGTCTTTTATGAGATTTTTCCCCCCCCTTCATTTCAACTGAACTTTAGGCAAGTAGAAAGGGATGAAAATAAGGCCCGTGGCAAAAGGAACTGAATGTGCTGTTTGGAAAGAGGGTTTCCTGCTGTGAGATGTCTCTGGGCAGCTGGCCATTCCTACCATATTAAAACAAAGGTGTAGGAACTGAGCGTTTTGAAAAGTGATGGTAGAGAGATGAATTTGAACAAAGTACCTCTGTCGTCTTGGAGGTGTATGTACACAGTAAGCAAACGATGTTCCAGGTGAGCTTGCCTGTTAGGATGTTGGATGGCCAAGGAGGACACGAGTTTACAGGGGCTCTGGTATCTCTGTCCCCGTGGATGCTGCTCTCTGCCCAGGCTGGGTGGAAGCAGGCAGAGCTGAGGAGTGTCCATGTCTTGCTTGAGTGTCCATGTCTTGCTTATATCACCGCTTCTGCCCCAGGAGCTCCTTTAGGGACATCAGGTTGTTGGGGTCTCCTGATAGAAACGTGCCTGCCTCCCCAGGAGGAGATCCATCGCTGGGGCGGTGGATCTCGGGGCAGAGCTGGGGCACGCCAGCACAGCCGCTCCCGTGCCCGACGCCCCATTGCAGGCGAGTCCAGCCGTCTCATTGTGTGCTTAATATTTCCGTACTTCTTCATCAGCAAGCGGGTTTGTTGGGGTTTTTTTTAGCACTTGCAGCCCTTGCCCAGTGAATTATCTTTGGATGAAGCCCTCCAGGTCTTTTATGGCCTGATGCAGTACAAGACAGAGACGTTATCGCTCCAAGGGCTTCGCTGTAACACACACACGGCTGGTCTATGTTCTCCCTGCGCAAACCGGGGGAAGGCTGAGTGGTCTTTTCGGTAAGAAGAGTGCTGCCCTCACCCTCTGAGTCAGGGAAGCAGCTTATGACCTTAGCAGGACCTTTTTCTTGCTGTTAATACAAAGGGAAGTCTGTGGGAGCTGCAACAGGGACTTGCAAACACCTTCTGGTAAATGGACTCCTGCTGCAAATGTCATGTTACTTACCAAAGGACATGAGAAATGCTCTCTCCTCTAGAACAGGGTATTAAAATGAAAGGACCACGTGTCCTTTGAAGACTGGTGGTGTATAGCCCTTGTTGCGCTCTGGGGCATTCGCAGGCACCCCGGACCATGCCGGGCTGCCGCGAGTTAAGCGCCGCAGCGTCGGGGCCGGCTGTGGGGTGCTGGGGAGGGGATGGGGGCCGTCGCCCTGGGAGGAGGCTCTGCACAGGCAGCGCTCAACCTGCTCTGCCAGGGCTGCCTCTGGCAGAGAGAGCTCTCATCCCTTCCGCTGAGATTTCAAACGAGAGTCTCTAATTAATGACATCTCCCCACTTAGCTCTTGATACACAGGCAGATGCTGGGCCTTTTAGGGCTGGTTTGAGACCTGCAGCGCTCCCTCCGTACGCTGCAGCATCTGGTGAAAAATGTTTCTGTTGCTGACCTGGGTTGGATCTGATCGGCCGTTCAGGAGTAAAAGATGTCCTGGGAGCGGGTCCTGCCGAGGCAAGAGCCTGACAAATAACCTCCTGCCTAAGAAAAGTCCTGTTAATTTTAGGATTCCCAGAGGCATATGGCAGAGTATGGAGGGATATAAATATGCATTTGCTGAATCTGGTGAGAACATAATATATCCTGAGAAACTCCCCCTTGGTAATTCTTCGTATTGCACATCTGCACTCTCACCCACAGCCTTGCAGCTGCAGTAGTTTTAAATGAAAAATAGACTTGTTTTGTTTTAATTTTAACAAAGATTCTTAGGCCAGCATGAAGCGGTCCATCTCGGTGACGTACGTGTGTGTTACAGTATGTAGTTCCTGAGTTGTGGGTTTAAATTATCGATATTTATATTTGTCCACACAAGACTGCAAGGCTCAGCTTGGTTACTTACCTTTTCTGATTTCATCTGTAAAATACAGAAATAAGATTTACCATAAATGCCTTGATTCTGGGCTTATCGGGGCTTGGTGAGCAGTCTGTATTGTCAGTTCTTGAGCTGCTGGATATTAGTTCTGCACTCAGCGCCCAGAGGTAACTTGCTCTGTCTGCCTGTACCAGGGTTAATTTGCAGTATCATTCAGAGGAAAAGGATATGGACCCTTTTCTGTGAAAATAGTGTAAAATTGCCACAAAGTACTGGGAAACGACTGTGCTCAGTTCCTAAAGATCAATTTATTCACCATAGAGATATGGGGTGAGTGGGCAGTCTAGAGAATCGCTAATGGGGTAGAGAGCCTTTTGCTTCAAAGCCACCGCTTCTGATCCAGCGCGGGGCTGTGCTAACCCAGGGCTCCTGACATTTGAGGGCTGGCAGTTGTCCCCTAAGAAAAAGATTGTGGTGTCGTCATCTGTTTTTCTGCAGAGGCCTTAACAGGTATCACCACAGCTGGTCCTGGCTGCCAGCCTCAGAAGAGGCAGGGAAGTGTCTGGAGGCCGTGCCGTCACTTAACCCTTGGGCAGCGTGTCCCCAGGCTGGTTGTCCTGCAGCGCTGCTGGGGAGGAGGGCTGGCCTGCAGCTTTCAGAGCTGTCCCTTTAGCATGGTCAGCTGGAGAGCCCAGCTGCGGGCTGATCTGTTATCACCTGGGGCTTCATCCTGGCATGAATCTTAATGGCAGATCTAGAGAAGCACCTGTTTATCTTCTGCTGCTGTTTATCTTAGAGTCTCCTTTGGCTGTTTTCTTGATTCAGCTTGGTGTGTGATTCACTGGGAGCTATGAATTTTGCATGCACTATTGACATTTCTCTGTGTTTTGGTCAGCTTTATTCTAGAGAACGAACAAAACTCATCACACACAGATAAAGCAATCTGAGAGTATACTGGGGGCATTGTTGTTTTGCTCATAAAAGACCGTGCTGAGAATATCTCAAACTCCCCTTATTTCTGTCCTTCCGTGCCTTTGAAGAAGTCATCGTACTCTCTTTGTAGGCAGAGGGACACATGGTCTCTTTGGAAGACCCTAAAGTGCTTGCCAGAGGTTTCGAAGGTCAGAGTTACCGGGATCAGAGCTTTTCTGAGCTGGCTGGCATAGGAACATTTTACATGGTGCAGGCTATAGAGAAGGCAACTGCTCCCTTCGCTCTCCAGTTATTTTTCCCTTGCCACTTTATGGTTTTGTTCTGTTTTCCCTAGGAATACCTAGCTATCTTTCTTTTTTTTTCCCCCCCTTGAGCTCTCTGGTTTTGCTTTAAGGGTTACAGCACCGTTGATTGTATTGGCTGTCTGGAAAATGGTGTGCTGCTTGCTGTCTGTGGGCTCCCTGCTGCTAAATGCTGCCAGTGGGACTCCAGAGCGTTTAGATCAATCAATAGGGCTATCATGGCCTTATTTTCCACACTGTCCCCGTCCCGGGGATGTGTGTGACAATTGGAGAGAGCACACGAGCCCTCGGGTTAGTGGTCACAGAGTGTGGATCCAGACGCTGGCTGCCCCCGCGGTAGAGGTGTGTGTGTTTTGGGGGGCAGAAGGGTACCGACGGGCAGGGATGGCGTCTGCCCTGGCAGTGCCAGCCGCTCCCCGGGCACACGCTGTATGCACCGAGCCAACACAGGTCTGGGGCTTTAGAAGGATCTGTCATTAATTCCTCCCCATTTGCAGGTAACTTCCTTCTGTCAGTAGGGACCGGGTGCTGTGAAACGGCGTGAAATGAAGTGGGATGCTAATGGGATCTCCCATGCGCGTGCAAACCCAGTCCTGTGCAGGCAGTCGGAGCTCAGCACCACCAGAGCTCAGCACCGGGTGCTGCAGACCCGGCTGCGGAACTGACGAACACAGTAGTTCGTGCTGGGGCCAGCCGGCCTCCCCGATCCACTCATACTCCAACGCACCTGGAAAGTCTCACCAAATTATAAATAACCTGCTCACCAAATTATAAATGGGACAGTGTAGCAGTCCCGGCTATTCTGGGCCCTCGGTTATCTCATGGCAAAAAATTCCCAGGAATATTCTGCAGTTGTTGCTAACAGATGGACTAAATAATTTCTCTGGGAAGGAAAGCATCCACTGATACCGTTACATTTTTCCTCTAGATCCCATCTAATGCCGAGGCTGAAAGAATCGCGCTCCCACGAGTCTTTGCTCAGTCCCAGTAGTGCTGTTGAGGCTCTGGATCTCAGTATGGAGGAAGAAGTGGTCATCAAGCCAGTCCACAGCAGCATCCTGGGACAAGACTATTGCTTTGAGGTAAGGAGCCTTTCTGTCCGTCCCGGGATGGGGGACGGACACCTGATGGGGCTGTCTGGGGAGCCAGGTGTGGGGTTGCATCTTGGGCCGTTCCTGCCACCTGATGGGGCTGACTGGGGAGCCAGGTGTGGGGTTGCATCTTGGGCTTTCGCTTTTATAAAACGTTTCTGCTCTGAATTGCTACACAGAGACCGTTTCATAAGCAGAAAATTACTTCCACCTTTCCACGGAGGATCAGAGCAGTGAGCTCTTTGCCTTGTAACCGTTGTCGCAGCAGAGCTTGCTGCTGGCACCGGTGCTGAACTACTTAAGGCTGTGTATTAGCAGAGCAGAAATTTGTGGTTATGTTCATACAGATATCGAAAAGTGCTAATCCCGACTCAGTGTTCACAAAGACATTACACGTGGTCACAAAGATAGCCTACTGTTGTCAGTGGGAGTGTTGAGTACTTTGTCTAGAAAACTGAAGCTCCACTTGTTTGGATAAATAGAAAAATCTGTGAATATTTCAACTTTTTTTAACATCTGTTATGGCATGTGGTTAGGTCTGTACTAGCAGGAGGTGGTAGGACACATACAAACCAGGCTGTAGTTGGATAATTCAGTGTAGTATGTCTTGGGAATCATTTGTCCTGCATCATGGATGGCAAAGCATTACTGCTTATGGCAGTGGCTGGATATAGAACTGGGAAATGGTTTTCTTACAGTAGTAAGATGGTCGATACTTGCGTTTCTGGAAGAGAAGGTAACCTGTTTGTACTTGGACACAGAAGAGCAGATAGACCCTGTATCCATGGTTGGATCGTACTGCAGGGGGGTGATGGGGCTGCAGGCCTTTCTTGGGTGGGCAGTGCTAGGTGCAGTCGGCCTTGGCAATGTCCAAGAGGAGCCAGACTGGAGAGATGAAGAGTTTGTTTCTTTACTGAAATTAGCACACTTGGAAAGAAATGAGTTAAAAGATCCATTTCTTAAAATATAAACAGGTAACACAAAAACAGTCTTACAAAAAATAGCCCCAAACATAAACTCTGAAGTGGGCTGAGGTATAAATTTTCCAGTGCTGTTCATTCTCTGTAGAATTGAGCAAGTGTGGCAGGTCAGGAGAACAGTTTTGTAAATTATATGGCCTCTATTACATTCCACTCAAGAAAGATAAAATGAAGCTAGATGGAAAATAGATGTGACATCCATAATATAAGAGTTGTTTACCAATTCTGTTCAGCGCACAAGAGCAGAGGAAGGGATATGAACAGTACTTGTAGAAAGTTGACTAAGAGGGAAATTACACAAGTCATGCACTTGTAAGAAGGAAGAAAATTTTATTTCTAAGTGCGTTGGATAAAGAAGAGTCATACAGAAAAAAAGAACATGTTAATTGCTGTTCTGCAAATCCTGCAGAGGAAAGGAAGAATGCCAGAAAACAAAAGGGACATTGATTTGTAACTGACGGTTACTCATCAACAAGCTCCAGTGGGAAGGACTGAGGTGAGAGCTAAATGGCGTATTGTGTTAATGCGTTGGTCTTGTATCTCCAGAGAGGCTCTTTCAAATTTGGAGTGAGGTCGGCATTGAAACGAGTTTGCAGCTCTCCCAGGATCCCTGGTGGGTAGCAGGCAATGACCACAATCCCCCGTGCACTTAGGTACAACTGATGGAAGCAAAGGGTTGGCGTTGCCCTTGGGCAGCGCAGGGCTGGAGGGACGAGCCTGGGTGCCCGGGCAGAGGAGCGGCGTGTGCTGGGACGGGCTGGGCGGCTGCTGCTGGCCCCTCCGCACCCCCGCGTGCATTGGCACAGACAACTTTATCGCATGGTTCTCCGTGTTGGGCAATAGTGAAAGCCGAGCGACAAAACCACACGAGCATCTTCTCCTCCTCAGGGCTTGACTGTTGCCTTCAGTTATTGCTGTGTCCTGAGGGTCCCGTCTGTGGCCTGTGGTCCTGCGTGGCTTTATCTGAAAGTACAGGCAAGACTTGGCAAAGACTGCTGCCGCCTTTCAGTGGACGCTCAGCGAAGAGCAGTAAAACCTGTAGTGGTTCCTGTGGCCTGGAACTGGGAAAGCTCTGGTTGAAATCTGCACGAGGCTGAAAGGAAAACTGAAGCTGGTGGCCAGGAGCCGTGACACTGCTGTGTGTGGGAACACTGAAGAGTGAGAAGCTCAGCTGATGTCCTGGAAGAGGAGCCCTGACGAAGACATGTCAAGGGAGGAGTTGCTGCCAGAGTCAGGGAGACAAGGGGAACCAAGACATTTTCTGCACAGTGGATTGCGAAGGTGCTGGGGGTTAGTAACGGTGCCTTGTCCCTGCACTCTGAGGCTGTTGTGGATCTATTCTCTAGGGAGATCTGTCAGGAACGGCCAAGTTTGCTGTCTCAAATTGAGAAGCGAAGCGTTGCTGTTGTTGGGCAGTGCCAGCCTTACGCTGTTCTTAACTGCCTTCTCCTTGCGGTGGGGTGGTCGGGCAGTGGACACTGCCTGGGAAGCTGCTTCCATCACCAGCTGGCTGGTGTCTGTTCTCATTTGGGATGTTGGTGCTCGGTTGGCCGGGCTGGCTCAGCGTGCTCTTTGGGGTCCCTCACCAACAACAGCGTGCAGCAGCTTTTCCAGCAGCTGATTGCGGTCCAGGCTGCCCAGCACGGGCATGCGAGGTACACCGTGCCGCAGGTCCTCCTCCACCGAGCCGCAGCAGCGGCCTCGTGGCTCGGAGAACAAGACGGCAGGATTTGACATGGCTGCAGATGGAGTCATGCTGAAGAGGGCAGGTTCAGAGAGAGAACTGGCAGCGCACCCAAACGGAGACAAAAGCAAGAGGTGCCAAAGCCATCTGCAGTGGGGAAAAAACCAAGTGGCTGGTTTGGAGGGAGCTGGCTGTGTGAAGGTATAGTGCAGTTGTTTCTCTCCTTAGCACGACTGACCTGCAGTAAGACGTGCCAAGCTGACTGCTCAGCTCTGCTCCCCCTCAGCTGGGCTCTGTGGGGGGTAAGGAGAGTCAGCAGTAATGCAGTGCTTTTTGAAATGCTGCATTTGGCTTTTTCTGCTTATTTAGTTCTATAAAACGTGCTTTTTTCTGACTTGCTGAGTACTTGGCAGTTGGTATTTACTTGTTTTCTTCATTGATTTTCTTAAAAAAGTTACTCAACGTTATCTTCTTCCTCCTTATAAGACTTCCCAGTCAGCATAATCATCTAATGCCACTGCACATGCTGCCGGTGCCAAATACACAGTGGGCATCTTAGTCCAGCAAAGGGGACTCAAGTGCAGGCTCCCAGAGCCTGTTCCTGGCTCTGCTGTTTGTGGGGCCCTGGTGACTTGGGCAGGCAGGGCAGTTAGGACTGAAGGGCTGTTACTGTCTTGGCAGACCAAAGCCTCGTCCTGTTGCACAGCTCGTGTCTGGGCTATCGCAGGACGTAGCTGGGGGATGCGGAGCAGGAGAAAGAAGAAAAGGCTGCTGGGCTGTGCTTGCTCCACTACAACTGAAACCGCGTCGCCCCATCCTGGCCTTGCCTGAGCAAGGGAGAATGCAGTGGAGCTAAATTTAGCTCCACTAAATTTAGTCCAGCTGTGCAAATGTTCGCCGTTGCTCGCGTGGCCCTTCAGGCGCCCTGAGCGGCCGTCGCGGGGCTGCAGGGCTGGCCCAGGCAGCGCCGGTTTGCCCTTCTGCACTTGGTTATGGTGGTGTTTACCAGCTTGGAGCCTAACTTTTCCTCGTAAAATCTTTTGAGCACTTTGAGTGAAGCAGCTTCAGTAACTCAGTTGCCACCTTCTGTCGTTACTCCGGTGAGATTCCTTCAAGTGTACTTTGAGGAACCCATGCTGTACCTAAGACATTCTTAAAATGACAAGATTTTATCTGACCTAAGGGATCACCCATCCGAGGACTGTGGATAATGAATGTGAATAAGTAACATTTTAGAAATTAATGAGTTTTATTAATTGAGTTTATCTTGTATGTTAATAGTATTCTAGCATATCCAAAATCTTGACGAGACCAGAATACTCTCTTTATCAAGATAATTAGTATCTCATGAAGATCATTAATGCCATATGATGTTTAGGTCAGAGCTCAAAGCTGGGATGTTACTGCAGATCTGGGGAAAATTACATTTTTGGTCACACATGGTAGATACGACCTTCAACTCCCATCAGATGAAGAGGGCTTCATGTCTGACACGTGAGGAGTTTCCCCTTCTCTCACTTAAGTATGGCAGTTACAGTTTTTTAGGTTTTGAGTGATTAGTTAATCGGTAATTGTTTTAGAACTGAATCATAAGTTTTACCATGATAACTCAATGATAATATGTTGACTTAAGTGTGGCAAGAAAATATATTAGATATTCAACTTAACAGATAGCTGGTAAAAAACCTAACATTTAATTAACAGATTCAGTAGAAGGACAGCTAAATTGCATGCTTATTTATTTGGATATGAATCCTTTAGGCAGCTGAGGGATCCATGTGTGTCACCAAGGAGAACTTGTCCTTAAGAGAGCATCTTTCAACAGCAATCAAAGAAGTCATGATTCTCTTTTATGGAAGAACTTCCAGGTTTCCTACCAAGTTCTCTAGATCCAAGAACATCGTTGTCAAATGCATTTGTACACCAAATTCCCGTCAAAACAAAAGAGCGAAACAAAAAGCTAGGTGAGAAATGGCATTTGAGGAAATGGACTAATGGGACAGTTTCCACCTTTATTAACTGATTTCTAAGCAATCAGTGGGAACCGAATTTTGTGAACCTTAGTCAGAATGTCAGTGGGACAGCGTGGGGTACAGTGTAATTCCCAGTGTGGGGTACGGAAACCTAGCCCTAACACCTGCAGGGCAGTGTGGCTATACCAGTAGTGTCAGGACTTTGGTGGTTTGGACTTGAAAATGGATTATTTTGAGTCTTCCGCAGCTGAATTAGATGGGCCAAATAAGACAGGGCTAAAGTTCTGAATTGTTAGGTTCCTGTCTGAAGGACGGTTTTGAAGCCTTAGAAATTCACATCGATCAAGCAACTAGGGAGCTGTCTGGAGCAGTGCTCGTTCGCTGTGCATCTTCCGTGTTACTTCACTGTAAGTTCTGTTCTTAAAAACTGTCACTAAGTGGTACTTCTGGGGTCTTTCTGTTTGTAATTCAGTGTTCAGACGGCACAGCACCACGTCAACAGTAATGCAGCCGTGTGTTGCTTCTCTTTAGGTGTCGTTACCAGTCAGGTGTACAGCTATGCTCGGCTTGCATGCTGTTGCAGGAACTCTTCCTGAGAAAAGGATCAAGAGGCAAAACTGCCATACCCTCTGGCAGAGCGAGGCATAGGGTCCACACGCGGTGGACTCGGTCTTGCAAGTGACACATCTCTTGTGCCACCAGAAGTCCGTTTGTGACAGTTCAGGGACGGAGGTTCACATGAGCATCTGCAGCAGCAAACAGGAGGTGAAGCAGGCCAGATTTGTAATGGGAAACTTTGAAGAAGCTGGAAATACACTGAAGTGTGAAAGGATGCTGAAAAGATCATACTACTGTGCCTACTAATACGGAGTGTTCTTTTCTTGGAAATAGAAGATAACTTGTGCTCAGAAGAATATATAGTTTTACAGGAGAGACGATGAAAGCATGTAAGGACAGGGAAGAGTGTCTGCCTGAAGTAGAGAGCTTCTGGGATATCAAGGGTTGCATTTGCTGTGTGAAGACAGGATAGGCCCCTTGTCATTTTGTCCTGGTTAGAAGATGTCTCTGTTCAAAGGCAGGGATGTGTTCAACTCATCATTGAGGTTAGCTAATGACAAATCTCAGCAAGTGCCAGCTCTGCTGTAAGAACAGGTTAGGCTTCTGAGAGATACATGAAATTAAAGGAGATTGTGTCTCCCAGAAGCAGATAACCCGGTGTGCAGTGTGTAAACACAAACACTGTGAGATGATAAAGTACTCAGAAATAATTCTGCAGCTTGAGACTGGCGGAAGTGAAGCTCAGAGGGGAGTCATTTGAAGTACTAGCCAGATCCACTTGGCCTGCAAGCAGAGATGTACATAAAGAATATTACTGGACATCACCAGATGCAGCAAATGCAAAGAAGGGCAGAGCAGCTGGCGGAGGCTCTCTGGCAGCGCAGGAGTTCTGGTACCACGGTCGTGGTCTGTCAGCTTGCCAGCAGGGCCTGGAGGAGAGAGCGGCTTTGGGGATACGTGTACATGAGAAGACACAGAGAACCATTGGCCTTTAAGACCTTGATGCCGAGGAAGCTCGGTGTGGTGGATAGGAAGAAATGTTCGGTACCTGTTATCCTGGGGCAGTGGGTGCTTTGGTGAGCTCTCAACAGGGTTGAGCTTCCATGTGGTCACAGGGATGTGATAAGGAATGAGGGGCGTTTGCACCACTGGAAACGTCACTGCTCCGAGTGTGCTTCTTCAAAACCTGGCTATGAAATCCCAATGGCCAGAGAAGGTCACACAAACACTGCAGAAAGATCCCTTGGAGTGATACTGGACGCGTGAGAGGTGAGAGGAGGGCGCAGCAGCACTTCACGGGCCATCTCCAGGTCCGGGAGTCCCAGCCGGGTTCTCCCCAGCTGGGGAGCAGGTGCTGTGAGCACCGGAGTGCCTCCGGCCGGGCTGTGAGCCACAGCTCTTACTGCTGCCAGGACTGTGGTGTATATACTTGGCCCCAAGTTCTTCACAGCATGGTCTTCAGAAGCAACAGGACACGAAGGGGGAAGGTATGAAGCCAGCCTTTCTGGGCCTGATGTTCTGCTGAAAACAAGGACTGGGTTGTTACTATTGCAAGCTTTGGGCTGAATCTGGAGGAATGCCAAGCGATTGCAATTTATCTTTAGTTCATCTGAAGATTTGCACTCTCTCAGTTGTGGAACTTGGTGGTTTAAAGTGTTGCATGCATGGGGCCCATTATCTAGTGTTTTCTGGTGTGGAAGAGGAGAAGTAATTGGAATTTGCTTCTATGATTATTTCTGTGACATACAGAGTTGCCCTGTTTTTCCGCTAGCCTTAGGGGCTGTTGCTTCATGCTTGGGTAAAGCTGTTTACTTAAAAGAAAAAATAAAAATCCAGTAGCATCTTTCCTAACTCCCCCTCTCCCCCGGAAATCACAGTCTGCAGTGTGCTGGTCAAGACATAATCCTGTTCCTTTCCCTGTAGGTGACGACTTCATCAGGAAGTAAGTGCTTCTCGTGTCGTTCTGCAGCAGAGCGAGATAAATGGATGGAAAACCTGCGGCGTGCCGTGCACCCAAATAAGGTAGTGGCTTTGAGGAATTGCCTCTGTTATAGTTCAGTTCCTCGTTATTACATTTTATAGCCCAGTGCATAGTAGCAGCAGGGGACGTATTGTCATTTTAGTGAGTAAGTGTAACTGTGGGTCAGCCTTTTTCCATATTGCTTTCTTCCACAATTATATTTACAGGCAAGTGCCAATTATTTCTTCCCCTCTTTTCTCAGCACATGCTGCTTCAGCTGTTGCTGAGAATGGATCAGACCTGAAGGATCTGCAGTCTTGCTCTATTGCTGATGATACTTGCCACTTATGTAGGACTTTCCACCTCCCAAAAGCTCTGGGACAGATGTCAGGTAGTTGCCAGCAAAGTTGCAAGACTGAATAGTCGAAAGAGTTCACATACCACACTTCTGCCTCTGGTAGTACTTGTCGTGTCTGCTTTAGCGATGGAGAAACTCAGATGCCCATTGCAGCGAGTTCTCTGAGGCGACAGTGGAATGTAGCTTTGCCTTCTCAGTCAGTTGAGGTGACAGAATCATCCCCTCCGGGATCTACAGAAACAAATCCTTCTCTTCACTAGAACACAGGGACACCCAATATGCGGTTTTATGGCTCACTAAGTACAACCTAAAATAAAGTCTACAGCTGCTTTTCCTTCTCTGCACTAGAGTTAGTTAACAAAGATTGATCAGACTAATCAGCTGCAGGATTTCACAACTGATGAGCTCAATCAACAAGTCTTTTTCCGCTGATCAGAGAAGACACAAATTATGGGATCCTGTGAATTCATTCCTGGCATCAGAGCCATGTAACTGTGCATACAAGTTAGGTCCAGGCCTGGCGGCTTGCTGAAGGAGCCCTCTGTGTCAGAGTTTATTGTTCCCAGCGCAGTGCCAAATGTCAGTATAAAAGATTCCCTTCAATATCGGAACGGGAGCAGCGGAGGGGAGAGGTGGACTTCTGCCTCTAGCAGCATGTTCCTGCACGTGGAGTTCAGCGACTCCAGTACTTTCTGAGTGCAGCAGCCTGGTAGTAATGATCTGAAAGAGCTGTGTGAGGTTTACGTGGTCACACTTGCCGTGAGAAAAGTCCCGGGAATGTGAGTTGGGGCTGGGCACATCACTATGGCTTTGAGATGCAGTGTTCGGTGGAAATTCATTTGGAAGCGTGCCCTCATCTCAAAACATGCCATTAACTGATGGCTAACTTTCCATCTTTGTTTGAGTTCATAGACAATAAACTCTCAGTATCTGACTTGATATTTCTGTCAGGAATTCAGTGTTCTTGTATAGTTCCTGTGTGTGCTTCCTGAACCTACAGTATCCCATTGTGGATTTCCAGCAGAAATGTTCCTGCCCAGACTCCGAGGCTGAGCAGAGTAAGCCGTCGTTGCTGTTTCAGTGAGGGGTTTCCAAACAAAACAGGTTACCGCAGAATCCTAGCAGTGGTTCAGCTGCGAGTGCTTTATCTTTCGAGTCACTCCTGCAATAAATGCCCCTGGATGTTCTTCCAGGATGAGGTCAGCATCACTGGGGAGCTCTTAAAGATCCACAGTATCCTTTGCTCCATTATTATTTAAAAGATATCCAAGCCAAATTTCTATTTCTGAATTGTAATGATTCTCCTGTGGAACTCACTCTGTCTCCCATAATTCCTCTCGATGTTTTAGTGGGGTACTCTGGACTTCTGCCCTAAAATATCGTGAGGTTTTGTAAATGCCTCTCTCCCTGCCAGAGGTGGTTGCGTTCCAGCCATGGATGAGGTGATCCCTGGGTGTGTGTTCAGATCCTTTTATTGTTGCTTTGTTACAGTGAAGAAAATGTACTCCAGTGCTGCTGTAAAGCAGCTGTACTAAAAAAGGAGGTGGCTGTGAGATACCTGTAACATAGCTTCTGTTTTGCAAAAGCCATTAATGATCGGTGAGGTTCTTTTGGTTTCTTAGGGGCCCTCTTGGCAGTGAATGGGAAATGGTACATTTATGATTTGGAGGGGTTTTATCTTCCTTGTTCCTTATATTAATTGGCACCAACAGATATGGAGAGCACGGTGATATTTGGAAAATTAACATAAGTAGTGTTATTATGCAAATTCCTGAGAGCCAGTATTTCCTTAAAATAAAATGTAATTAAGTCTTTGCTCATTTAGCACATCCGAAATAATTAACTCATATCTCCAGTTTTGTTGTGCTTGGCTTTGTGGTTTTTTTATTGACCTTTTTTTCTTTGCATCTTTTTTTCAGGACAACAGCAGAAGGGTAGAGAATATGTTAAAGTTATGGATTATTGAAGCCAAGGACCTGCCAGCTAAGAAAAAGTACTTGTGTGAATTATGCCTGGATGACGTTCTTTATGCACGAACTACCTGTAAATTGAAAACTGATAATGTATTTTGGGGGGAGCACTTTGAATTTAATAACCTCCCATCGCTCAAAAACATTACGGTGCACTTATACAAAGAGACGGACAAGAAGAAAAAGAAGGACAAGACCAATTTCATTGGACAAGTTAACATCCCTGTCAGCTCTGTCACGGGCCGGCAGTTTGTAGAGAAATGGTACCCAGTGGTCGGCCCCAACCCCGGTAAGGGCAAGTCCCCGGGGCCCATGATCCGCATCAAGTCACGCTACCAGAGTATGAGCATTCTTCCCATGGAGATGTACAAAGAGTTTGCTGAGTACATCACTAACAATTACATGGTGCTGTGCTCGGTGCTGGAGCCCTCGCTGAGCGTGAAGAACAAAGAGGAGATGGCGTCTGCACTGGTGCACATCCTGCAGAGTACGGGCAAGGCCAAGGTAAGACCCTCCGTCATCCGTACCGTCCCACCAGAGACCATCAGGAGCAGACTCCTGTGTTGGGCTTTGGAAATCACCACCTCAGCTGGGCTTCAGGCCTAGCCATCATTAATAGACTCTGATTTTGCTTTTAAGTACAAACAAGTTGGTAGCATGTGCAGTGCAAATTACTTAATTAGCAAAGAGGTCACTAGGACCACAAGATACCAACCGCGTCATTTTTCTCTTCTTATGGAGGCTCAGGGACCAGGCTCTTACTTTATAAACAGGCACAAATGTGAAAGTAAGCAAGAAGGCAGTTTTCAGGGATGAAATGTAAGCAATGCTGGCTTGCGCTAAGGTATTCCTGTGGGATCCCAGCAGTTCCCCGCTCCGCTCCCTCCCTGTCACCGTGCTGCTGCGCTGAGCACCCAGCACCGTGGGAGCCGAACGGGAGCAAATAGCGTCTTGAGAATTTCGAAGCAAAATCCGCCTGCGGGCACGTGTATCTCTGAATCAGCTCTCAGTCTTCAGGGTCTGTCCCGATGCTTTTGGAAGGGAGGTGGCGGTGGGGGGGGCGGCAGCGTGGGAAAGCCCAGAGGTCCTGGAGTGCTCCCAGGGCAGTGGTCGTTGGGGGGGTTGATGTTGGCCAACTTGCGAGTGGTGGAAGTTCAGTTTTTGTGGACCTCTTTCTCTGAGCATCCTTCATGGTTGGGAATCCCCCGCCAGGTCTGGGGAAGAAGCAGGTCAGGAGCAGGCAGGGAGTGGGATTTATTCCTGCTTGTGATCTGTGAGGGTACAGGTGGGGTGAGCAGAGCTGGAAACCCCCTTACTGGAGAGCGCAGGCAAGCGCCGAGGTCCCCGGCACGTGGGGCTTGGAGTTGCGTGACCTGTCTGCCGCAGAGCATCCTTCGTCCCCCGCTGGCACGGCACAGCCGTGCTGGGCAGTGCCAGTGCCAGGAGTGCAGGAGCTAAAGCATCAGCCTTTTTCTCTGTTCACGGCTCACTCCGCAGGGCGGAGCTGGGGAAGAGCGAGATGTCCAAAGCTTTTCCAGCGCTGAGGAGACGTGAGCCCCTCACCTGAGGGGGAATCGCAGGGCTCTGCTTCCTCCGCAGCTGCCACTGCTGCCTGGGACCGTGACAGGGTTCGTGGATTAGATTTAGTTACCATCTGTCGAACAGAGAAGTGGCTTGGCCTCCCTGATCGAGTTCAAGGCAGGCAAAGTTCACTGAGAGGATTGCGAGGCCGTGGGCCTGCTATGGCAGAGGCAGAGAAAATAGCTCGGTTAAAGTCTTCCTGATCCCAGGCAGCAGCATCAGACCCCCGGCACGCAGGGGAGGATGGCAGTCCCAGTCCCCTTGGCTGCGTTACCGTCAGTGGGGACAGAAGTGGCTTGGCGACTCACGGCACGTGAAATAACGCTCTGTGGTTACACCAGGAGGGCATCGTAGGTGTCCCTCTCCTCGCTCCTTGTGCCGGGGCTTCGGCGCTGTCAGCACGTGGTTTCTTGGGCACAGCCCTGCCTTCTGCTGGCACCGCTCCTCCCCGCGCGCTGGGGGCCGTGCCGCCCTTCGCTGCGGCTCTGACGGCGCTAGTGCCAGGGCTCTTGTTGGAATGACATTGCCATGAAAGACCCTGTCCGTGGCTTACACTGTTCTGGTGCAAAAGGGCTTCAGGTGTCACCCTGATCTCAGTCACCTTGGATCATGTGCGGGCATGGTGACAGCTGCTGTCACCGCTCCTGCCGTTTCCCTCGTCTCATCGGTACTGGAGAGGCTCTGGAGAGTGCAAGTGTGTTTCTAGACATGTGTCTGCATCAGTGCTCGAGATCCCAGAGGCTCTACGTGGGGGACACAGCAAACAGTAAACAGGCTTGATGAATTTCCCCCTAAAATGGAGCTTCTGCTTTCCCTGCCTGTCATCTGCCATCAGCATTAGCGCAGGGTTTAGGGAGCTGTCAGAGCAACAGGAGTTACTGGAGCATGGGAACCGGGTGGTGCATCCTTTGTAGAGGAGCTGGACAAGCAGAGAAAGGGAAAAGCAGCAATAAGGTAAAAAAACAATGAATGGGAGAGGAAAACCCCACTCACCCCTGCTTGTGTGACATGGGTGCACCCCGCCACCGCTCAGGAAAGCTCCCCTGTGGCTAAGCACCACGACCTCGTGAGGGGACACAGCCACAGGAGACCGGCAGGCTGGTGCCCGGTCTGCACGGGGAGGCTGTGCTGGTGTTGTGGTCCCTGCCCTCCGCCGGGCAGCCCCTCTCAGCCCGCTCCACGGAGAAGGACCGAACAGGAGGAGTTCAAGCGCTTAGAAAGGTCTCATTGCCATGCTGCCTGCTCTCCCTCTCCTTGAGCATCGCCTGGCTGGCCCCTCAGCAGGGCTCTGAGCACCTCCCTGGAGTTTCAGAAACAGAAACAAGCATATTTCTTTTTCCTCCCCAGCCAGTCTGCAGGAGAAACTGTTTGTTTCGTTTTTCTTTTGTTTGTAGGTAAGGTAGGTCTGTATGTGTTTGTTGAGGAAGGCGTGCACCTGCAGGCGGGTCTGGCTCCGAACTGCATCTGGTTTTGATGCTGAGGACACAGTTCCTTCAGCCCAGACTTGCCCAGCCCTGAACGCCTGCTCGTTCGGAGGCGACACCGAGCAGGAAGGTGAAATGCCCACGGCCTGAAGTAGGGCACAGTGGGTTTTGAAATGGGGTTCAGAGCCCGGGAGGAGGAGAACAGATCCCCGTGGGCCGGGAGCCGGCGTGCTGCTGGGTGAGGCGTGGGGCCGGGTCCCAGCCTCTGCTGGGTGAGGACTAGCCCAGCCCGGTGGCAGTGAGCACCCTGCTCCCTGGCATGGGTGTGCAGCGGCCGCGGGGCAGTGGCCCCCTCCTCCAACCTCTGTCCTCCTGTGACCCTCCGAAGCTGGCCCAGGCTGGAGGTGCGTTCCCCGTCCTTGTGCCTTGCCAAGAGCTTTTCCAATCACCTCTTCAG